CTAATTGTTATCAGCCTTTCTGAAACCGAATATTCCGAGTTGGACAGTTCGGGGTTACTCAACCCTGAGTATCGTTTTTCACTCTGAGTTTTCTAAACCGGCTTCCTGAAATAGGGCCCAGGTCACTTCACAAAGTCAGTTTCTCCCCGACTGTGACAGTGACTGTTAAAAAATATTACCGAGTGTGTGGTTTACCTGAATGGCGATGGTGATTGAGGTGGCATTGAAGTGTTTCTCCACCAAGTTGGCGACTCTCTGAGCGGTGGAGAACAAATCTGCTAGCTCATCTGGCCGAAGATCCCGAAAACGCTCAACTGGTCTGAGTGGGCACACCAGCACATCTGAGCAGCTCTGTTAAGGAATTACTATGCTGCAGATATGGTTGGAAAGTCAGAAAGCACTGAGATAAGAAAGTTGGTTAGCTCTGCAATATTATGACAAAAGCTCGTGTTTTTCATTCAGCAAAGTAAATCTGAGAGTTTTTTGTTGAAGTAATATAAGCTTAAAATATATAATCAGGCAATGCTTTTTAAAGTGAAAATTGTGAAAATGGCCTAGAAAAAATTGAGTGTACCCTTAACTAAATATTTTATTACAGCCTTATGAGACAAACTGCAATCCAGGGATTTCTGTAACTCCTGGTACAGTAAATAACCAAAACAAAAGGTTGCACTTCTGATTTGCAGCTCAAAACTAAGAATCATGTCAAAGATGACACCTAAATATTGGATTTGGAGGTATTCATTGCTAGTAAATATACATGTGCTGACAGCTTCTAGTACCAATAACTAAAACTTCTGATGAGCTGTAAAATGTTTTCTCCCATCTACGTTTTTACTATAAAAAGATCTAACTTAAAAGAGTCTATTGGCCCAGGTTCAAAATTAGACAGAGTATTTGGGGTGGCTGTCACCTTTGATTTTATTTTTATACTTAGGTATACTTATACTTTAGACTTAATACATATTTGCCTTAAACAAATATATATTAAATTTTTAACAATAATATTCTATGATAATTACAAAAGACCTCAGCAAATTTAAAATGCATATGCTGTTAATGAATTAACTTCTTTTGGATTACTTTCACTGGTTGAAACACTATACTTCATCACTGGCAGGAACTGATTGTAGCCAAGGATCTCGCAAAATCATGTCAGAGGCCAGCTGTCTGCTTCAAGTGGCTAAATCTTACTGCTCAAGAACCAGTGGGGAGCGAAAGTCATCAGAGATCCCATACGGAAAAGAAATAGTAAAAACTTATATGTGATTACTCATGAAAGTGGCCACTTTCATGAGTAAATCATATAAGGCTTACATGATTTACTCATGAAAGTGGCCACTTT